TCATCTGTAAATTAGCAACAATAATAAGACCTATCTCACAGGACACTTATGAGCATGAAGTGAATTCATGCTTGTGAAGGTCTTAGCTGGGCATATGTTGGTTATTACTACCTTTCCAAAATTTCACATGCCTTTTTAGGACTTTTCTCGTTGGATAACAAATCTGTTTATTGAGCTAAAAAACAGCTCCTGGAACTATGCAGAAAAAGTCTAAGGCGCCATCTACATTAACAGTCCTTCAAATACTTGAAGACAGCTTTCATGAATTTAATAACTGCTTTCCATGCCTTCTTTTTTTAATTTCAAGAATAGAACACAGTAGACTATAAAAATGAGCATTATCAGTCTTCCTTTGGTTTTCTATGTAAATGTTGTTTAACATTCAAATGGTGCTGATTATAATTTGAGATATTAACAGTTAGATATGCCATTGTGTCCCTCTGTTATTGTTTGTAAAGGAGGTTAAACACTGTATTAACTTCTGAGTAGTGATTTACTGTTGCTTTTGTTAGAGAAAAATAAAAAAGAAGTAAAATAATATAATTTGATATTGCCTTTGAGACTTTCAGTTTGTGAAAGTCTTTATTTCCAACTCAATTTTATTTTTTTTTTTAAAAGCATACATGTAGTGTAAATACAACATCACACAAATGCAGAGTTGTTCTTTTCTTCCTGGATTAAGCTGTTGTGTAATATTGCTCTATAACCATTAAGCAGCTGCTCTGCCTCAGAGATGCTCATATTTTCTTTGGTAGATGAAGAGAATTTACTATATGAGTGTCTTCAAATTGCTTTAAGATCTTTGGCCTCTGTATCACTGTAGATTTACAGTGGTCTATGTAACATGTGAAAAACCATGTTTCTGCAAGGTTCCAGGAGCCTGGAGGTTACACATGGGGTTATGTTAGCAGCAAATAACCTGACATTTCCCTGAGTCTCGCCCTCTATACGTTGCAGGGCTCCTGATGCATTGCAAGATTTTCCCCAGTTATTTCACCAGAGTCCTCAAGTATTGTCTCCTGTATGCTTATAAGCAAATACTATCAGCTATCTGAGTACTATCTCATCCACTATTTCTTTTTCTTTTTAACTCTGCCTTGTCTTGGGTAATGCCTGTCTATTGCAAAGGCTGCACACACTGTGTGCAAAGATGCATGAAGGTGGCAGCGGTCTGCTTCAGGTGCTTCTCCTAGGCTCCCTCTTGCCTGATTCCCACCCATCCCAGCTCCCCTGGGCTTCTTGTCAACAGGCATTACTGCTTGTCCTCAGAAACTCTCCCTCCACTGAAGTCTCACTATGCTCCATGCAGGAGTGGAGCCCAGTGGGACCTGCGGTGTTGCATTTTATCCAGGGGATTCCAAAACAGTGCCAACACATTTCCAATGCTTTTCATACTTTAGTAAAACTCTTTCAGAGTTTGCATTGTTTTTTTTTTTTTTGGTAGATTCCAATGTGTTATAACTTGAGGAGTTAGGGGTCTTCCCCTGGTGGAATTAGCCTGGAAGTGGCTCCTCCTTGCCCTGTGATTTGGCTCCTAACAGCCCCACACACCCATTCATCTTACTTAATGGGCAAGACTTAGAAGCAGATGGACCTCTGACTCCTCATTGGAGTAATAAGAAAATGAACTTCATATTATATCTTGAGTAATGATATTATGTATTACATCTGATATAATTTATATAAATATACTGAAATGTTCATTATTTATTCACTCCACTCATTCATCAATTTATCTTACAAGTATTTTTGTACTCCTACTGTTTAAGCACTTCTAGTCTTTTATTCATTATCTTGCACTAAGTGCCTGAAGTTACAAGTTAGTATACAACAAAGTCAAGGATATAATCTAACCCTAATCATTACTCTTTCCCATTCCACCCAAAAGCCTAAATAAAATCCTCAGCAGATGAGTTCCAGGGAATGCCAACGGCCAGTATAATTATCCATTAATCTTAAATCATCTATATTTACATTCTAATAAAATTACTAAGATGTTAATTTGTGACCCTGATTCCATTTAAAAGTAGAATTTAAAAATTTTGTTCTGTGAGTGTGTACTTAGTAGTTGCTCTCTATATAGGCAGTGAGTGTATCTCCCTGATCGCTTAGGGAGATACAGAGAGCAAAACCCACTCACTCTCCTAAATATAGCAGCTGATAATCCAGCAAGGCATACAAGACCTGAAAACAGGTATCTTGGAAAATCTGAAAGTGGAAAGTGTAAAATAAATATAAACCAGGTGCTATGTGAGTACAGAGGAAAACGATGATTTCCGGCTGGGCCAGGGGGTGGGAGAAGAAGTGGAGTTGCAGTTTATGGAGTGGGTGGCGGTCAAGCTGGACATTGAAGGATGAGCATGTGGAGAGCAGAGAAAGATGAAGGCGGGTGATCACAGAGTACGACTGGGTGATGACAAGTAATCTTGTCTGACTGGTCAAGTATACGTGCTATAGTCATGATAAATAAGGTTTTCATACTTAATATATTGACCTTATTAAGTTTATGATGAGTTTATAATGAACTATACTTTAAAACAACAGCAAAAATAACAAAAATCCTTGTATACAGTGATAACTTACAGTGGTCCAGAAAATTAAAAACATCTTTTTCCCCAACCAGGCAAAGGTGTCAATGTCCTTTTTGTGTATGCATGACTTTTAGTATCTTGTATAGTGCTGGTTTCACAGAAATTTCTCAATAATCCTGAAATGAATTCAACTTGGTGAAATAGTAATTGCTCAAGAAGTAAGAGTTTCTTAAAATAGAAGTGCATCAGATGGAGGCATTTTGTTATAATCCTCTTAAAAATGTCTATTTTTTCAGAGTAATGACTTAATTTGACACCAAAGTTTTGTCACCAACTGAGATCATGTAACTCCCTCTCACTCTTCCTTTCATTCTTTTTCTTTTTTTCTTTTGAGTCTCGCTTTGTTGCCCAGGCTAGAGTGAGTGCCGTGGCGTCAGCCTAGCTCACAGCAACCGTCAAACTCCTGGGCTCAAGCAATCCTCCTGCCTCAACCTCCCGAGTAGCTGGGACTACAGGCATGCGCCACCATGCCCAGCTCATTTTTTCTACATATTTTTAGTTGTCCAATTAATTTCTTTCTATTTTTACTAGAGACGGGGTCTTGCTCTTGCTCAGGCTGGTTTCGAACTCCTGACCTCGAGCAATCCGCCCGCCTCAGCCTCCCAGAGTGCTAGGATTTCAGGCGTGAGCCACCACGCCCAGCCTTCATTCTTTTTCTGAAGAAGGTAGATAGGTGGGTATCCAACAGCACTCAGACATCCTTGGTTCTTCAGTTCACAGCAGTGAGGCACATATGCTAATTAAATGGTTTTCACCTATGTGTGGTTAAAAAGCAGTTTTGTTCTGATAAATTTTCTAGACAAAGTTTTACAAATAAATCCACACTCTCTGGAGTCCTGTGTGCATAATTCAGTGTATGGCTGATTACTGCCTCCATTGGCCGATCTTGATTTATTGGTAACATTCAACCAGTGCTGACCATGAGTTTTATATTTTTATCTCACATAGTACTCATAACAACTCTATGAGGTAGGAGATTTTATTATCTTTAACTTATAGACAAAGAATCTGAGGCACCAAACAGGACTGATACCGTGGCTGAGATTCCATAACTGGTAAACTGGCTGGGATTCCAATGGCAGCTCTTTTGACTTGAGTGTCCCATGTTGCTAAACCACCCATGTATCATATCTGTGTGTTGAATCTAATCCCTTGGTCAGCCCTAAAGCTTTATGCAAAACCTGGTCAAATTGCCAGTTCCTAAAATATAGAGGTGTTCTTGTGTTTTTGTGTTTGTTTTTGTTTTTTTCTGGAAGTATTTTGGTTCTGAGGATTTTCGGACTCATTCTGTCTCTAGGGCAGCAGAGAGCAAGCTGTATCCCTTTTTCCTAAGATGTTCTCTCTCTCCTCACTCTCATTATACCCCCTTGACATAAATAAGAACCAGGGAGGGTGGGATGACTGCTGTTCATGGGAGTCCTCATCTCTGCTTTTGGACATAGCTAGTGACTCCAAGCAGGTCTGAACCCAGGCACCATGGCCACTGTGAGCCCAGTGCCTACATGTTGGGAAATGTGGCATTCCTGGAGGCCTGGATTCACCACCATTTGCCAGAAAAAGTGTCCACTTCTTGAAATAAAGGAAGTCCAAGTGAGTAGTAACAAGGGTGAGGAAAGCACTGAAATCAGGAAAAGTATATTAAAAGTGCACAAAAACAATTCATATAACCAAAACATTTTTACCCCCATAATATTCTGAAAGAATAATAATACTCATATTTTTTTTTAAATATCTGAACTTCCTTGGGATATTGGGTAATCACTATGTGATTCTCCCCGTGCACACGGTAAATAAACCTTTCTCTTATTTAAGAAAAAATAAAAAGTGCACAGAAATAGGTCAATGCAAAGCACTGTATTTGCTGTATATGCAAGTTCTGCTTGTGTGTTATTAGTGACCCTGGGCCGAGGGTGGGAGTGCTGGTAGCAGCAGCTCACTTTTCTTTAATCAGGGAAGGATTTTCGAAAGAAAGGCGGTTTCAGGAGATCTTTGAAGTATTTCCAGCGAGGTGCTAATTGTGGTTGTGGTTTTCCTTTTTCTTTCTTTCTTTTTTTTTTTAAATGAGTAGACTTTAGTCTACCAGGTGCTACTGAGTCGAATGCATTCAATGAGAGCCCACAGACCTTCATTTTCTATGTGTGGGCCATGGCAAATAAAACCACACCAGCTGCCCTGGACATTTAGAAAATTTTTTTCTAGGAGATTATTTAGCATCTAAACTTTTAACTTTTTGTTTAAACAGACTCAATTTGCATTCACAAGAGTTTTATTTTTTTACTTGTCTTGGTAAGCGTACTTGGTTTTTGTTCTAACCTTTGGTTTTAAAACACTTAAGCAAATTCTAGAGTTTAATCATTTATTTTGCTTCCTATTTCTGCTGATCTTTTCCCCCTTGATGTTTATTTTCAGGTTACCTTGAGGATAGTTTTGTAAAATCTGGAGTCTTCAATGTATCAGAACTTGTAAGGGTATCCAGAAGTAAGTAAATTGTTTTCTTATTATTTATGTATACAATATGTTTTAAGATTTTTTTAAAAAATTTGAACCTTAAATACAACATGAAGAGTGGCCACATTATTAGGAAAACATGAGTTTTAAACTCTTAAATCTTTTGATGAAATCATAAGTGAATATATTTTGCCTGATTTTCTAAAACATTTCCATTCAAATAATCAAAACATTCTGTTGTACAAAAATGTGGGGGTTGGTTTGATTGCCATGTTATTGGTATTCATTTAATTCACTCTTGGGTCTATGACCATAGATGGTCATTTATATCAAAGGAAGTGTGATTAATTAAATGTACTCCATGTTGTTATGATAACCCACATAAGTTTCCTGTAGATAAGTGCTTTTTCATTTTACTAACATTTTGGTGGGGAGTTGGAGATGTACAGGATATACACAGTACCGTGCAGAGTGTAGAGGGATGCAGAAATTAACTTTGCAGATTGTAGTTGGATATAGATAGAAAGCATTGTTAGCCAAAACAATGTCCAATTGTTTTAACTGGCCACTTCACCTGAGACACTATTCTTGGCAGGCTGGATCAGATTTTTCTAGGGTAAGCTCACCTGGCTGGCTACCTAAGAAAGGGGAAATTTTCCTCAGTTAACTCTTTTACTTATTACCAGCATGTGCAAATACATCTAAGATGTAGATCTTAATGTACTGATTATGTTAAAGGAGGTGACTCCTTTCTTCTTGCTCCATTCGCTGATTTAGCTTGTTTATTATGTCACTAGGGAGGCTATGTTTTCACCTGACATTTTGATGGAAAGTATCATAGTTTGGAAGGATGCTATTCAGATGATGTTGGAAGGATCATGGAAGGATGGAAGGATGATGGAAGGATGCTATTCTGATCCTTGTTTAAATTGTGTTTCTCATTTGGGTCAAATTCAGAGGTCAAGCACAAGGGTTACGATGATCCAGAAAGAACAAAGAGTCAGTTACTGAGGGTAAAATAGGGAATGCTTTTGAGTCCTGTTCAGTAAAGGAGTGTCCAATCTAGTAGTTGACTATAGTTGAGAAATTGTAGTTTCTCAAATAGCTCAGATTTCTAAAGTGGCCAGTACAAAAAGCATGCGTATTAGGAAGTGATACACATGAACATTTTAGACCTTAAGTAACATCCTTTCTGGAATAATTCTGGAGTAGATAAACATATGCCCAAAGACTTGTGTCATTGGGGGCAGCATAGGAGATGAAAATCTATTAACCTGTATTCCACTAGCTCTGGTGTATGTACATGCTAGGCAAGAGGATTCTAATGGTCTACTCAATTGTCCAAGGCAATGAGCTTTATTTTTTCTTGTCAACATGTGATATCTACAGACTTCCAACATTTGCAAATTTTACATTTTTATTTTTAGTTTGGAGAGGAATATATACCTGACTTACTCACTACTGCTTTCTAGCATCATGTAAGGCAGGGGATATTTGAAGTTGTTGGTGTATGTGTGTGTTTTCCCCATGCTGTTCTTTACTGGAAGGGCTATGCTGCAACATTTATGAGGCTTATGAAATTATTTGCTTAAATTTGTACCATTCTAAGTTCCATGATGTATTTTCATCCTTCTTATGAGAAGGGCAGTAGAGTCATCTGTCAGAAAATATTTATTTAGTACCTCATTTTAGGTAATATTATGCTAAGTGCTGTCAAAGGAGACCACATTAGAACCTTCAAAAGTCCAGAGTGATATTTTGAAAAATCTGAATTTCAAACATCAAAAGATAAATTTAAAATACCTTTCTGTAAGAGTTCAGAAGCAAGGTAAATTGAACATACTTCATTCATTCATTCTTAATTCATTCTGTCATCTCCTAGAGGTTTTTTAGGTTATTTGTTATGACAAACATTACTGATTTGTAATTAGCACATTAATTATCTATATTCATTCATTGGTTAATTTATTCAGCAAACATTTATTTTCTTCTCCATATGTAAATAGGTGTCTGTGAAATGCTTGAGAAGTTATTCTTCTAAGTGTTTTAATACATCCACAGTATAATCTTGTTCACAAAGTTGAACTTCATTGTTTATGAAATAAGGGTTTACTAAGTAAACATAAACTTCAGCACAACACTTATGCTGTATATCACAAATTCTGACTTCTTGAGGGTTCACAGTGTGCTAATGGCTTCTATCCTCTAGGGCTTTACAATCATATGACCCGCTAATGTCTGTGTTGACTTTAGCTAATGAAGCTATTCAGCTTTAGGATAGTGATCTCTCTGTTGAATGATATTATCTCCATCTTAAAAGTTGATTTAGGATCAGCTTTTGGAGTGAGGAGAACAATAAGAGAGATTAAGGATTGGCCTCTAACCCATAGAATCGGAGGTTGTTTGGTGCTTCGTTTCTAAGAGGATATTGGCAACCTCTTAAACATGATTTGCAGCTTTCAGCCTTCTTGCAGCTCTCTGGGAGAGATGGCTAACGCTGATCTTTGCATCTGATGCAAGTTCTTCCAGAGGCTCTTAAGCCACAATATCTGCCTTGCTCCTCTCATTAAATAAATTGTCATTAAAGAAATTGTGTGAGCTGTTTTATTATTTTGGCCATGTTTATTATTAATCTACTTTTCTTTCTGAAATCTCCCATTTAGTGTCAGAATGCACACTAAATTTTTAGTGTTCATGCACATATCTGTAGACAAATTGTTTTTATTGCAGCCATCTTAAAATCGATAGATGATATTTGTACATATTTATGAGGTACATGTGATATCTTGATACATGCATACAATATGTAATGATCAAATCAGGGTGTGTGGGATATCTGTATCTCAAACATGTATCATTTCTTTGCCTTGGGAACATTTCAAATCTCATCTAGCTATTTTGAAATATATGATACATTGTTGTCACCCTACTGTGCTATCAAACAGGAGAACTGATTTCTTGTATGTAACTGTATATTTGTACCCATTAACCAATGACTCTTCAACCTCTACCCCTCCCACATCCCAGCCTCTGGTAACTATCATTCTACCCTCTACCTCCAAGATCAAATTTTTTAGCTCATGCATATGAGTGAGAACCTGTGGTATTTTCTTTTTTTATTGCTGTTTTGATACTCTCGAATAATCCTCTGGAACAAAAATTATAAAACCCCTCAAATTTCTGAAGTTTCCTTTATTATCATTTTATAATAAATTACACCTGTTTTGTTTTTTACAGCCAAGCAAACTGTGCAGAGTATCTTTGCCTAAGTATTCCATGAGCTAAATAAATTGCAAATAGTTTATACAAGATAGAACCTGCAAGTTTCCTGTTAGTAACTCAGATCTTTGAATTGTATCCATGACTGTTGTAGGAAGCTGGACAGATTACTTACTTCCACTGAGTCCCTCAAATGTCTCTTAGCACGTACCCTGCTTCCAATGTCACATAGAACATGGTTCTAATAATAAATTTTAAAGCATGTGGTTACTGTGGGATTTCTTACCTCACATTTTTTTTAACCTCTGGTGTACCTCAAGCCACAACAAACATTGCTACATTTTAGCTGTCCAGATAATTCAAGCCATCAGGCATAGTTACACTTTGCATACAAATATTTTCTGTGTAAAAGGAGGTTAAAGTGTATTGTATAAAATGAACACTGTAACAGAAGGCAGATGTTCCAGAAATTTGGAACTGAGACTACTCGTGTATATATTGATTTATTTAATTTTTAGTAGAAAAAGAGAGATGTTCACTGTATATTTCTTGATCATTTCTCTGCAGTGAACCGTGTACCTAATCATATTTTTGTTAAAAATATTTTAAGTTAATCTTGGTCTGCCTGATATTAAAGCATAATTCAGCTGATAGTGAACACATTTAGAATATTTATTTAAAAGTTCTGGGTAAGAAAAATTACACAAAAAAATCTGTGATTCCGTTGGAGTTTTATATCCAACTTGAGGCAGTTAGGAGAGAGGAAAAGATTAAGCAGACTTCTTTTGTGTTCTTAAAGTGAATCTGGGGGACTCCGGAATTTTGTTGCCAAGCCCCAGGGCACTCTTTCTTTCATCTGAACTTTTGAGGACTGATTAAGACAGGTAAAGAAATGTAAACCAGGGAGTAGAGTGGGGAGGGAAAGAAATGTAAACCGTTCTTAGGCACTATTCTCTGACACCTACCTGCCTGGTCTCCACTTTGCATATTATCTCTGCCCCTGACTTTGCTCCTGCAGTAACCCCTGTTTGGAACGACCTCCCTTTACACCATACTCATTCTTCAAAGTCCACTGCTAGCTTCGGCTTTTCTACAGACTTCTTGAACCATTCAAGCTGATATTGGATTCTTTTTCCCTTGAAATTCCACAGCACTTATTGATCATGTCCTTCCTTTGAGCAGTTTCATTGTAATCTACATCATCCTGTTATTTATATGTTTTGCATGAGCATTTTGTTTACGCAACCTGTTGACCAATATGTTTATTAAAAGCAGAGCTGAGAATATTTTGTATCCATTGCAGTCAACACCTGCGAGTAATGGACATGATTAATAACGTTGAATGAACAGACTTTCAGCAAACAGGTTCATTTTTATCTGGTCATCTGCTTTTAGTACATTTTTGAACTTTTCGTCTTTGCTAACCACTCCACTCTACCAGGGAAGAAATTTAAGGGAGAAAGCAAAAACGGAAGGAATTTTACAATTTGTTGAGCACCTGTTAATGTGCTAGGCATGATACTGGGCTTTTATCACTCCTTACTTTACTTTATCCTCAAAATTATCATATGTGGTAGGTTATTATTATTACCATTTACAATTTAGGAAACGGAGAAACGAGACACATAGCTCACAACTACAGAAGAAGTGCAAACTAAAAAGTTATTTATCTCCCAAGAATCTGCTCATTCTAACATAATATGCTGCTGCCTCAAAGGTCTACTCAAAATGTCTAAAATAAAATTTTAAAAACTTGAACAGATGTAATCCATTGTATTAGGTTATCAAGTATGAAATCTCCAATTTCCTTAAGTACTAAGTTTGACAGTTGAGATCTCTGACATTTCACTTTGACATTTCTTATTTTATTTTTATTGTGAAGCTACAGCTTTAGTTTTGAAAACACACATTTTGGCTTGTGGTTATCTTTCACATTTTTTTAGAGCAATTTTTGTGAAACCATGGATAAGTCAAAAATTTGTGTTATTTTTGAATATGTGTTATGTCGTGGAACCAATGTAGTGCAGACAGCTTGAAATATCAATGAAGTGTTTGGGAAGGATGTGACTAATGAACGAGCAGTATGTCGATAGTTTGAGAAGTTCCATTCTGGTGATTTTAATCTTGAAAATGAGCCATGTGGATGACCTGACACCCAGGTAGATAATGATGAGCTGAAAGCTGTAGTGGAAGCAAATCCATCTGACCTTAAGTGTGAATTAGCAGGTTTGACATAACTATTCCAACAATATTGGACCATTTGAAAGAAAACCAGCAAGGTAAAGAAGCTGGGGAGATGGGTTCCGCATGAATTAAACAAATGTCAGAAGAGAAATTATCTCGAAGCTTGCCTTTCTTATTGTCACCACATAAAAGTGAACCATTTCTACACTGTATTGTTACGTATGATAAAAAATGGATTCTTTTTGACAATTGTAAGCATGTGGCACAATGATTGGGTAAAGATGAAGTGCCAAAACACAGCCCAAAACCAAATATTCATCCAAAAAAGCTAATGGTGTCTGGTGGTCCAGTGCTGGTATTATCCACTACAGCTTCATGAAACCTGGTGAATTGATTACAGTGCATGTCTACTGCAACCAATTGGATGAAATGATGAGGATGCGTGTGATTAAGCAGCTGAGATTGGTCAATATAGACAAGCCAATCCATTTGCAAGACAATACTTGACCACATGTCACACAAACAATGCCACTTAAACTACAGAGGCTGGACTTGGGAACTCTGTCACCCACCATTTTCACCATACCTCGCACCAATTGACTACCACTTCTTCCAGGCTTTGGACTACTTTTTGCAAGGAAAAATATTCAGTTCTCAACACATGTAGAAAATAACTTTTGCAATTTTATCACCACTTGCTCTCCAGGCTTCTTTGCTGCTGGCATAACAAGCTACCTCTAAGATGGCAAAAAACTCTGCGGGTAGTTTAGGCACATAGGGTGATTAATTGTACTGCTTCTGGTTTGAGATATAATAAACTACACTTCTGATTCAAAATCAGACCTTTCATGTTTAATGACCTAATACAAAAAAAGCTTACATGCAGAAATCTTAGTTTATAATGTATAAGCAAATTCAGACAGATTTCTTGATTTACAAATATTACCTTAAAATATAAAACTCCGTGAGTATATTTTAGAAGATTTATAACGTGGTATAAAATTAAAGAAAAACATAACTATTGATTAAAGCCACATTTACCATTCATATATGAAACCTGAATGTGTATTTTGAAGATAAACATGGCTTTCATTTCATATTTGTAAATTTCACTTATGTATCTGTCCTAATGCAATAATTACTTATATCAAATAATTATAAATGTCATGATTTCTAATCCATTCTAATATTAATGTTATTGTTATTACAGAATAATGATCTTTGGTATTTACTTGTGAACTGTTCTATATTTATTTATCAATGATTTGGTGTTTGAGAGCCTACATGGTAGAAAACGACTTGTTTGGTGCTGAGTGATAGGAATTATATGTTCCTCGAAGACATCTATAGACTAGTGGGGTGACAGATGTAATGACAACTAATACAAAGAAGTGAGTGAGGAAGATCAGAGAGTAGGATTATGGGAATTGGTAACCAATGATTATAGTCTGAGTGTCTCATGTTTTCCAAACTTGAATTCAAGTGCTAAGGTGAGCAAGTTTTTAAGTCCTCCCCCAGTGTATGGTAGATATTAAAAGTCTCAAGGTAATGAGAATTCTCCCCCTCCTTGCCAGAGATGTGGAAATTATTAGATTATTACATTTGACTAAAGATGATAAGTGTGAATGTCATTCCCAGTGTTTCTTTTTGTTTTATTCCTCAGCGCCCATAACCCAGGGAACTGGAGTCAATTTCCCAATTGGAGAAATCCCGAGCCAACCATACTATCATGACATGAACTCGGGGGTCAATCTTCAGAGGTCGCTATCTTCTCCACCAAGCAGGTAATTAAAAGAAGAGCTGTTCATGTTCTCAATCAGTATGTAGATGGGTAGGTGGGTAGATGATATGCAGATAGGTAGGTAGGTAATGAGAGATGGGAAATAAAGACTTTTAGTATACAGACTTTTAATCTTTCCTTGTTAAATTTACTTGGCTATTTGCAAACTAAATGTAATTGTCTTTCAAAGCACATTTAAAAATCTTTTTCAGGGAAACAAGGGACCTATGAAGATATATTAAGATGATTGTAATTCTTTTGGTGATTTTATAAATGATATTTTCATAGCAGTGCTCCCTGATTTATAACTGATCCCTGGTAACTTTTTCTCTAATACCACATCCATGTCTGGGATAATGAAAAATGAAGCCTTACCTAGACTTAAAATCAAAGGCCTTCTTCTGGGCCACAGTTTGCCGGATTCTTCAGTTAGTTGATATTCTTTGACTAATTTAGTTAACTCTCAGTTACCAATGAAAATATTACTTCCTCTGGGATTTGGTTTTAACCCTTTGCTGGGGAGGAGCTAGAGTGAGGTCTCTTTGCTTTTAGTTCTCTATGGACATACTCATTTTCTCTCTTGATCTTCAAATTTTAACTTTCAGTTAAGATGAATAAAAATTACAGATGTATTGTTTTTGGTTTTTTTTGAGTTGGATCTTCAACATATAAAGGCACATCTCATTTCCAGAGCATTAAATATACCCATGATCAAATATAAGAGCATACATGAATTCCAGAACAAAATACACATTTTACAATATTAACTTTTTAAAAACAAAAGAATATCTAGATAATTATTTCTCTTCTTATTATTCCTCAATAATGAGAGTTAATTGCATTTGTATTAATTATGGACTATGCCTGTTTGTATGTTTATAAACTGCAATCAATTTCATATCATTTTTAGTGAAACTGTATTTCCATATAGTTAAATTATACAGCAAGATGATTGGATTTATTATCATTAAAATTGTCTCTAACATGTTGAGGTCTTAAAAATGCCTTACTTTTTCTAAATTTAAAATGTGAGTAGTAATTTTTTATTTTGACTGTTGGTGCAATATGTTGCCAACACAGATCTTTCCTCATGGCCACTGAGTATCAGATACTATGTCTTTCAGAATAAACAAGGTTTAAAAAACATTTCTCTATTACTTCCTTATGAAAATAACTTCTTTTCCAATTTAGAGTTTTTTATACATATATACTGCTGACTCATAGCTGAGAGAATTAGATTAAAAAGAGAGTTAAAAAATGTAAGTTCTAACTTTGGATACCTTAAGAAAGAAACTAAAGAAATTCTTGGAAATGTAGTGCAGTAGAAAGAGCACAGTCTTGGAAGTCAGTCCTTATTTTGTGTCTGACCACTTCCATTAACTTGTTCTGGACAATCCACTGAATTTCTCCAAATTCGTCTCTCCGTTTATAAAAAAAAGGGGGGGGGATTGGTTTAGGTGTTCAATTTTTAAGGTCCATTCTAACTCTGAAATCCAATGACATTATGTTTAGTATTGCTGCAAAAAGTTAATTCAGAAGACATTGTTTTTAGTTTTACCAGAATAGATGCAAACAAGAAAATTTTTTAAAAGAAAAAAATGTCCATTGCATAGTCATAATTAACTGCTTACTAGGGTATTTGTGAGAATATATAAAAGAAACATATCAAGCAATATGGCCCTAAAATAGCTTCTTAATCTTTGCTCTAGATATTCACTTTTCTTAAAAATTGAGATGAGCCCATGTTTCCTTATTAAAATATATCATTTTAAAAGTATACTGTTTGGTTAAAACCTGGCAATGACCCTTTAATTTAAGAATAAAGGATAATTCAATTTTTAAGAAAAAGATAAAGAAGAATATATAAAATAGTTTATAATCAGTAAAGTTCTATAAATTCTATTATTATTAATTATGGAGTAACTACTTATAATTACTATTTAATAAGTATCTTCTAAATGCCAGTCACTTAACTAAGAGCTTTGCACTTAATAACTCATTTAACCCTCTCAACCATCCTCCTTTTGAACTAGATTTTATTGTTTCCATTTTACAGATGATTAAACTGAGTTTACAAAGGTTAAGGAGCTTACTATTAAGAATTAATAAGTGGCGTAGACAAGATTTAATACTAGGTCTGTCTGAGTCCAAAAGCTCTTGTTCTACTTTACTCCATTACCTTGTCTTTGAATTAATATGAAAGGATTGTATTGTCAATAGCAAGTGCTATACAAAGGAACATTATTAATATTGATAATAATTATAATAAGAGTTAGGTACAATTTTAATAACACAATTTCAAGATTAGTAGACAAGCCACATGAAGAGTTCACTTTTTATTACTGAAATTTCTTTGGAAATGCAATTGAAGAGGTAAATATAATGAACACCATATTTGTTAGGCAGGTATAGGTATAAGATGGTATAGTAAATGGTACATACAACTAGAAATGTTTGCTATTCCTGTTGGTGTCTTGAATATTCACCATTATTTCAAAATGATTCTGAGATACTATTGTGTTTATGAAATTTCCACCATAAGAATCTTCTCAAATCAGCTACTTTTAAGTGCTACACATCTTACCAGAAATCCTATTAATATAACTATTGTCATATTTTAACAGCAAAAGACCTAAAACTATATCCATAGATGAAAATATGGAACCAAGTCCTACAGGAGACTTTTACCCCTCTCCAAATTCACCAGCTGCTGGAAGTCGAACATGGCACGAAAGAGATCAAGGTGAGAAATAAAAGATGCCTCCAGAGACATCAGGGTAAAATGTTGGCTCATCTAATCAGTTTCATTTAGTCAAAATTTCATAATTGAACCACTATGGATTATATGATTATATTTTGTTCCTGAAATGACTTCAGTAAAATTGTGTTTAATATACTGGTCAAGTGCTGTCAAAGTTAATTTACAGAAAACCCCATTCTTTGTATATTTTATTGGCCCTTTTTTCAGACCAAATGATCTTTTCAAACCCATAATTATGTATGTGACTGATTATAGTCTGTCTCCATTAGTTGGGTAGTCTGCGGCAGAACCACAAGTTCTGATTCAATTAGATCAATAGGCTCTTCTCCGTGGGTCATTTCAGGGAGGAGCCAATCTTTAAGCCGTGTGCATGTGTCAGGTACCGAACGTTCTCATTTAAAGAACACACAGTTCCTTTTGGAAGTAAGTAGAGTATAAACAATAAGTGAAAGTATAATGTAAAGTAAGTTGTGTCTAATCTAGTTATGCTTTCTAGATAACACTATGATCCAGTTCTAGGGAAGCTTTCAGGAGAAATATAACTTTAAGAAATAGGTATTATTTGGCTTTCTGGTTCAGATTTAGCTTTTCCGTAAGTCTATTGGATTTAATATATTTCATCTTACATGCTGAGGCCTTCCCCCGCCCCCAAATCAGAGGGAGATTATTAAGCATGGAAATTGAAAAATTAGCTAACTGCAATTTTTGGTGGTATGTGCGCATGTGTACAAATAAGATTTTCTATCAGCAGCATAAAAATGTATTTGAAAATTGTCTTTCAAATAGAATTTTGCATTTTAAAAGAAACTAAAAGAAAGGAGCTCTTTATTAATGGCTTTCAGCCCTAGACTTGAGAGTATCTGTATAGGGATTTGGGAACTTTATGTTGTTTTAAGGAAGGATTTGAAACTCAGCTGGAGAGGTCTGGCTCTGAGATACCCCCAACCCCAAATCCATTCTTAAGGCATTAGACAGAAATCATTTTTGTAAAACATAAATAATGTCATCTCACTCTCCTGCTTCAGATCCTTCATTATCTTCCCACTGCTGTCAGGAGAAAATCAGAATTCCCTTGTATGATTAAAGGGTATGGCCTCTGATTGCCACTATAGCCTCACTAGGTGCCACCCTGCTGCTCCTTGCTTGCACTGGAACCCATTGCTTTGTTTAGATTTAGAAATCAAACACCTAGGACCTTCATAGAAACCATGCCCTTTGGAATGAATGCTCTTCTAACCCTTTATCTGGTGAGTTCTTTGTCATCTTCCAGAGCCCAGCTTAAATTAGGGAATTTTGATCTAAATTAGGTCTTCCTGCCTTTATTTCTTCATTGCATGCATAATATGTAATTACAGGTCTATTTATGGGATCAATTGTCTATCTGTCTACCAGGGGTCCTCAGACTTTTTAAACAGGGGCCCAGTTCACTGTCCCTCAGACCGTTGGAGGGCTGGACTATAGTTTAAAAAAAAAAACTATGAACAAATTCCTATGCATGCTGCACATATCTTATTTTGAAGTAAAAAAACAAATGGTCAAAAACACCCTCATGTGGCCCACGGGCTGTAGTTTGAGGACACCTGGTCTACACTATGAGTGCAGGGACCTTATCTGTTTTGGCTACTGCTGTAACCAGCACCTAGCATGACACTGGGTGCATAGTAGGAGTACAATAAATATTTATGGGATAAGTGAGCCATTGATAGGCAGAACACCAGTCTCATTAATGAAGGCAAGATATAATAGAGACTTTTACCAGAATTGCAGAAGTGAGTAGAAAAACAAAACCCTCAACCTTTTATATTTTATTGCTTGTTTTACTGACATTGTCAGTTTATTCTAAACAAAGCCATATTTTCTCTGTCAGAAAATTATTCTGGAAAAGATTCTAATGGTAATAACATTGTGAATGTGTGGGAATGGAGGCTTTATTCAGAAGTGTAGGTGTTCTTTATTGTAGAGAGTGTCACTTTGTAAGAAGTGATTCCTCTTTCAGCCTATTGAATAAAGCCAATTTCAAATCATATTATAAAACATTTTTGAAAAGTAGAAGGGAAACTGTCATTCTTTCTCTTTGTAGAATCATTATATTGTCTTGGTGATTTTCTTTTGTCAAAATGACTAGAATTAGTGGAGAAATCTGTAAAGGCATATTATATTAAGAGTAAGGAAGAATGTTCCATTCTCAAGTGTGCTTAAAAAAAAACTCTGTCACTTTAATTCTGAAGACCCAGTAGACTTTGTAATGTGCACAATAAGCCATTGTGGGAAGAAGACTGAAACTACAATGAAAAAAATGAGGGCAGTACAGTACTATCTTTACAAATTTGCTAAGCCCAATCCAGTCCTTTTGTTCTTAGAAAATTGGTTTCTTAAAATTTGCAAAATAAAATGCCCCCCAGTTGTTCTTGTCCGTCTTCAAATGTTCTTTAGACACACCTGCCTAGTGACAGGAGTTGTCTATGCACATATTGAGTGCCACTCCAATAACTGTGATGGCTTTAACATGTCTCACACATATTTTTCCCACGAAGCTCTGCAGTAATTGGCACTAAATAACTACTTATCGGTTGATTAAAATATACTTGTGTTTAAGATTGGCAGAAATGCTTAAAATTTACTATTAATTATTTCCCAGATATGCCTTATTCTGTTAGTGTTAACTTTGCATTAAAATCTATTTTTGTGTTATCCCTTAGCAAAATTGATTTTTTAAAATATGACAAAGATAACAAAATTATGGACAACATGTAGCCTTCTCCTTTCTCTTACAATCTGAAATACTAACCTAAACCATTGAGATTTATTCCAAGTAGGCAAAGATCAGGGATATAATATGCTCAAATTATTATATCTATTTTATTCTAAAAAGAAATTAGGCTAAATATTAATTCAAAATCTAGATCAATGTAATAACATGTTCATGAAATTTTTAATAATTTAATGAAAAAGTGTTTTTATTTTAGCATATTACAATCATAATTAATTATATCCTTGTGTCATTCTTTTCAAAACAAAAAGTTATAATCTTTTGATCATAGAATTGTAATTTATAATTTTATAAATATAAACATGAATATTTTAAAACTAAACATTATTTGACAGTGCTATGTAATTTGCTTACATTTCTTTTGATGAATAGTGATAGAAATTAAAGTTGTCAGCATCTACATTATGTAATATTTATATTTTTACTTTATGTCCTTTTATACCTAGAAAAGGAGAAGAAAATGAAAATAATACTGAGGTATAGAACAATTGTTATATTCCCTTCCTAAGTTACAGAATATTTCTCCTTGCTTAGTATCTTCTATTAAGATAATCTTAAACTTCTGACTGCCTCTATCTCCATTAAAAACTTTCTTTTTTATATACTGTTTTCTACTATTTAAGATTTTAATTATTAAATGAATAGTACCAGGTTAGTTTATCAATATGTAGGTTGAAAATTTCTTTTATTCCATTACTTACTCCACAAAAAATTTCATTGAGATCTTGTCTTTCTTGAATTTTTTATGAGTTAATATAGATACCTGATTCTTAGATGATATACTTTTCTTGAAATCATTAGAGCAATCCTCTGTAACATCTTATATAAGAGGAAAAATAAGAGACATGTCATAGTTTTCCCTATAATTCAAGTTACTTTTATGGGACTGAATCTATTGTATTCCAGTGCTCAGTAATTTAACAGATAAATAATTATCTGCTTGAACATGTGAAACAATTCTCTATAAGATCCCTTTGCCACAGCCATTATAATAATCACTGATTTATCTAAGTTTGAATGTAAAAATCCTAAGACATTATTTAATAGCTATTTATTGAGAAAATATAATATGGTAAATATATTTGTAATATACAGCTGGGGATTTCTAAATGGAATATTTAACAGCTTCTCAATGTGATGAGTAGTTAAACAACTTATACTCTTAGATAAAATGTAAATTGAAAAAGACTTTTTATGCAGTAAAATTTTATTAATTTCTATACATTTAGGATTTGAGATAATTTAACTCAATTAACACTTATCAAATGCCTAATATATGTGAAGAATTTTTGCAGGCATGGTGCACATAAGTATGAATAAATCAAGTTTCTAGCCCTTGACCTGCTGAATGAAAAAATAATTTTTTACTATTTATGAAAAAAAGTAACTTCACAGAAAATAAATAATGTAAAACAGATTGTCAGGGAACTGTTTCCATGCTTGATAACTAGCTTACTTTTAAGCACTGAGAGGTAACTCTTCACACAAAATCAATACATTTTCATGTTAGTGAAAAAATAACACTGCTTGGTATATTAATATATAATTATAATTTTAAGAGTAGTTTAAAAAATTAAACTGGACTCTCAAGCAAGATTTAGGCATTGTGTTCTGGTTGTTGTAGGTACTAGAAAATAAAAATGCTAATCTTTTAATAAAAATTTACAGTTCTGTTATATAAATAAGTCTCCTGAGCAAGTCTTTCTGAATCTTTAATATCTTTCCAAGTCCTGAAGACTTTATTTGTGATAATCGTGCAAACATCCTCATTATTAAGATAGTCTTAAACATTGTGCTAAATTTTACTTTGCCCTTTATAGAGTTCTTATAAAGATATAGTAGTAAATATCAAATGAATCAAGTCAGAGGGCCCAAAGGAACACTGAGGGGCTATAGAGGAAAAGTGCCAATTTGGTGTCATGTGCTCAATCAGAAGATAAATCGTGGTAAATTAGAGTGTGGTACCTACTGACAGAACCAGCATCAGAGGCCAGCATTCCTTAACGTGAGTTTAGGAAGATGAATAGGCATACTAGGCATAAGAGTGGTTAGCTAAGTTTGGAAAATTCCATTGTAACAAAAATTTAAACATTTTTTTCATTCATAAATAAATGTGCGGAATATTTAATATACTACTATGTGCTGCGAATATCCAGGAGTGGCCCTTGACTGAATGTGTTTATTAAGTTTGTGACTTCAGAACCTTTTATTT